CTGGGTTAATTAGAACCTGGCTTTTTGCCTTGAAGGTTCAGACACTTGATTTTGTCAACAAACAAGATGGGATCTGGTCTGTGAGCAGGTTCACTTTACCCAAATTTACAGCACCTGGCGCTCACAGCCAGCATGCCAGGCCTTTGTTTACAGTCAGAAAGGAACCGGAACATTTGCATTGGCCTGGACCTTCTCACATGCAAGTGGGGAAGCTCAATTATAATCAGAAGACTGCTTCACCGGTAAGGAATCAGAATAAGGGAAGTTAAATACATAATTTGCTTTTGAATACCTTGAGACTGATGCATTCATCTCCAAAACTATTTTGCTGACTAGTTATATATCCCTTCTGAGGGATACATTTATTTTATAGATTTGTTAATACAATCAGGGAAATTTTACTATGACTAGAGAACCATTTTATTTTTTCAGAGTAACTTGCCTCTCTCAGCTTCCCTCTTTCCTTCTTTCCCTCTTTTGTCCCTTTCTTTCTTTTTGTTTGTTTTAAAAGTAAGACTTATTATCTTGTATCCATCTTAACATCCTTTTCCCAAGTTATTGCACGAAGCTGGGGGTGGGGCAGGGAGAAGTAGTTTATAATTCCTGGAATGGACACTTCGTAGTTGTTCCCTAGTGTTTCTGCACTACTCTCAGTTTTCTTTTGATTTTCATCTTGGCACTGCAAACCAACTTTACTATTGAACCTTGTCACAGAAGAAAACCTGTTTTCAATTATTAGAAAGCTGTGCTGTCCAACATGATAGCCACTAGCCACGTGTGGTGGCTATTTAAATTTACATTTATTACAATAAAAAATGGATTTCTTCATTGCACTAACCACATTTCAAGTGCTCAACAGTCACGTGTGGCGAAGGGCTCCCTTTTGGACAATGTATATATAGAACATATTCATCATTTCAGGAAGTTCTATGGTACAGCACTGGCCTAGAGACTCCTACATTTAAAATAAGTGAGAAGATCCTTAAATATTTTATATGTCAAAGGCACAAAAGGGTGTTCTGTTCGATTCTTTTTTTTATCTTCGGTTGAGGAATATAATGCTACTGAGATTTGACAGTTAAAACCAAGTTCCGTAATACGTGAAACTGAAGTGAGGAGGTCTTTCTGCCACTACCCCATCCTTCCACTTCTTGCAGACTCTTTTGATTGCCAGTAATAGAAACCCACTCTGATTAGCTAAAGCAAAAAAGGGGATTCAGTTCAAGGGTGCAGGAGTATCCAAGGACAGAATACCCTTCAGCCTGGGAACAAATTGGAACGTAAGACTTGTGTTTTATCAGTACTCTATCTGCTCCTCTCATTTCATCTGCCTCATTTGGGTTTTTCTGCAGTCCTGCTTACACAACTTTTCCACTCCACAATACAGAGAGTATGACCATCAGTAGCTCTTGAGATTATATTTCCTCCATTTAATACATCAGCCACGTTCAGGCTAGGCTCTTTCAGCATTCATTCCAAACATCTCTGAGAAGGTGCTCATTGGCCTACCTTGGCTCAGGTGTCTATTTCTGGTCCAACTGGCTGTGACTGGGGGCAAGGTCAGCCATAGCTGCATGAAGCCATGTTGCTGTGGCCATGTGGTTCAGAGGGCGAGACAGGAGGCAGGAAAAGATACAGAGCTGGACAGCCAATCCCATGGGAGGCCATTATAATTCTCTTTACCATTTGGTGATCCTGGACACCCCATTTTGGTCCTTTATCTGAGCTTTCCCTCCCTGAGCTATACCATGGATACATTCTATTTCTATACCTTCCTCGAATCAAAGTTGCTTTATCTTAAGTACCATCATAATAGGATTCTGCTAGATGACCAATTAATCTGATATAGAAAACAAACTGTAACAAAGTTCTCATATGAACCCAGAATATCAGTTTTCTCACTTGATACTTGATAAGTGGAGATAATATTGCCTTTCTTGAGACATCGTTGTGAAATTTAGAGAATAATAATAGTGATAGTAGTGGTATTAATGATCATAATAATGCTTTTTTCCCTGTAATACATTTTCAGTTTAACCTCGATATTAATGGAAATAAAGTATTTTATGGAGATTTCAAACACTAAGTCAGAAAGATGGGGGAAATATAATCTTCAGTGACCCCTAAAATCATATAATGTAAATTTTAATCCTATTTTTTTTTACATCCAGATTAATCCTCCATAGAACTCTGATTTGAAAATCATTTGTAATCTTTTTCACAATCTGAAAGATTTTAGCTAGCCATGTGACCTTGAGCACAACTCTGTGCCAGATTCTTCATCTGTAAAGTGGAGTAATAATAGCCACTGCCAAATAGGGTTGTTGTGAGAATTAAATGAGTTATTATGTGTTAAGTGCTTAGCACAGAGCGTAGAAATAGTGAACACTATATAAATGTTAACACTGGTTATTCTTCTTTAATGCACTGTTTCTTAAACTGTGTTAATGTTTCAATGCATTAGTAGTGAATTGAAGTACCGAAAAAAACAGAAAAGAGCAGAATATCAGAAAATACTGCACATAGTAAGGGTAAATATTACTGAGGGTTGTGATAAATACATCACAATGCTTGGCATGATGCTAACTACACTGCAAATTTCAGTATTTGCTCTTTTTTGGCTAATTTGAATTAATCCTTACAGTTTATTTGAATGAGCACCAAAAAAATGGAAGCGTTCACTGATGTGCCTCAACTACCTTTGGCTCTGATGCCTGTTCTGCCACTGAGCAGCAAAGTGGTTTGGCTCATGACCTAAACTCTGCCTCAACTTCTCTTGTTAAAAAGGAATTTCTTGTATAAATCTCATAGGAAAGTGTGAAGCACTTTGAGCTGCTTATAGTCAAGCACTACATTATTAGACACCACTTCTCCACTTTCAGGTTTCAAATCATAGCTTGGCAACATCATAAGGCTAATTATGATTCCTCCCATTTTTTTTTCCCAGAAGAAAACAGCACAGAGAAAAAGTGACTCGTTTGCAGGAAGTCAAACTTTGCAAGACTTTCTAAACATTATGGAAATTCTTAGAATTGACAATGAAATACAGTTAATGCATCTGTTACACTGATTTTAGAGTTTTGCAATTTACCCATTGAAAACTCAGATATTTCCAGGATGATTTTTCTTTATTTTACCCTTTCTGGCTACTCCTCTTTGATTTCTTCCTCTTTCTTCCCTTCCAATTCCATAAAGCCCATGTTAAAACCTGAAAAAAAGAAGTGCTAGGTAACACTATTCAGGAAGAGGAGTTAATAGTTTTTAAGTATCTGATTCCCATCTTGTTAAAGGCATGAAAATGAGAATTGGGATCTTGTAGTTACAGTATTGACTTGGCAGATAAGAGGAGAAAGAAGCCCGGAGAAGAAAGCCTAGTTAATGTGAGATAGGAACTTTGCACTGGCAGGGACAGTAGCATTCAACTAATAGGAGGAGTAAAGTGCATGGGAAAGAGGATAACTAGGAAAAAAAGATTAGATTGCTGTGAGGAGGTTAGAGTATCATCATCATCATTCTGACGAGTAGAAATAAATGAAAAGCTACAGAAAAAATGAGAAGGAAAAGCAAATGGCTGAGATTCTTTTGTGAAATTGAAGGACCATGTAGCCATGTAGCATCTGACTTCCTGTTAAAAGAACATTTTAAAAAGTTTTTTTGTTGAGGATCCAGGAAGAGGGGAGAGGAGGCACTGGAACTATCAAGTTATAACTGGTTTCCTTTCCTTGGAAAAAAGAAGAAGGTATAAATGAAAACACAAGCCAGTGTTTGTGTGCTGGATTAATGTTTATTTGACTTTTCTTCTTCCTTCATAAAAATAAAATTAATTTACGTTGACTATTTGCACTTTACCCTATCCTTTTCATTTTCATAGTCTTCATAATATTAGTAGGTCATTATCAATAGATCAATAAATGGAAACAAGAGGAAAACATCTGCCCCAAACCATTTATCAAGTCACAGGGCAGAAGTGGTCTTTGCATTTATAACCTCTAAATTCTTGGTTTCTATTATTGCCAGATGGCCATAACTACTGAAGAAGTAATTCCAGACCACCACCTTGTTAGTACCAGTTAGTCTGGATCTTTTATCAGTACTGCTTAATAGAAGATGAGACAATGGTTAGGAACCCAATCTCCCCAGGCCCCCAGAACATTTGAAATTCTTACAAGCTCACAGGTACACATGCTCACAGTGGCCTTGCTCAGCTCCTGCTGGCAGCCAAGAAGGTGAGATAGGAGGCCATGAGAAACCCATCTAGTAGCTATTTACTAACCAATACTTAAGTTGACTTCAGCACTGATGAAGACCATCAGTATGTGGGAATTACAATATTCATTACCTCACAGTGCTTATTTTTCCTAAGGCCTGTATTCTCTGTTCTGTTTTGGAGATAAAGAACATTATCATTTGTTTCAGGGTTTTTTCAAATCATACCATCAATTTTACTGACAATTTCTGAAAATCCTTCAGTAGGCCTGTAAAAATATGGCTTAGTGTGAGCCTCCCCATCTGCCTCAGACCTATGTAAATACACCCTGTTTAGTTTCACTTGTGTTCAAACCTTTGCCTTTGAGGCCAAGACCTTGGGAATTCAAGGGTAAAGTGAATTTTAATTTGGTACATTCTGTGCTTTGATGAATAATGAAAAAAAAAGTCTTCAAAGCCTGATTGGTTCTAGCCACATTTGCCTGTCACAATTTCTCAAGCCACAATTTCTCAATTTATAAAGTCACAGGCACAAAAGATCATTCCCTCAAAAAAAAGATTCCTGGGGAAAGCAAGTCAAAAACACAGAGGAGAAGATAAGGTGTTTTATTTCTTCAGTCTTTTTACCGTCCAATTTTTATATTGGTCCTTAGGCCTTTGGACATGCTAGCAAATAATTATTTTTATGGCTGATAAAACGAGTACTTAACATTTTTCATTAATTGCAGTTTGGAGTAACTGTTTTTGTTTTTAAATCTGTCATTTGGTTTCTCAAAATTGTTTCTTCTCGCTAGACTACGTCAGGTGCCGAGAGCTGAACGGATGCCAAGACTCAGGAGTGCCCAGTCTTCCACATCAGCTCTGCTGCCAGACCTTCTGAATCTTCTCACCATTAGAAAAATCTACCCCCCAGAATCGCAGATGCTCTTCTCCCCCCACTGGCTCTGCACAGAACATCATTATCTTCGCCGAGCTTCTGTCTCTATGGCAATAACAGATGGGAAGTGCTTCAGAATTATTCATGTTCTGGAAAGGAGGCATCAAGGAAGGGAAGGTGGGGGCTGGAGGGAGCACGACCCGGGAGCAGGGCAATGGGGGCTTAAGGAAGGGAACGTAGGAGTCGGGGGAATGGTGGACTTGTGAGCCTGTGGTAGGCCGCTGGGAGGAAAATAGGAAAAAAAAATCTAGGAGCACAACAGTATTCTCAGTCGGTCGCTCCGAATATGGACCCCATTTGAGAGACTCGAAGCAGTAAAACCAGGAGAAACTGGATGAAAATGGGCATAGAAGGAAAAAAAAGGGACAAAGCTCGAGTCTTCTGAATTCCGTGCACTGACACTCGGTGGACTATTTCAGTTCCTGATCTTGGGGCTGGGTGGAGAAAAGGGGAATTTTTTTTTTTTTTTTTTTTTGGTGTTTCAAAATATGACGGAGCAGCTTGCCGGAGTTCAACATGCTAACAGTCTCTAGTGGGAACACAGACCGGGAAGACCACTCTACTGAGGTTCAAAGCCGAAAGCCCTTAAACCGTATCTTCGTCTCGTGTTCCCCTTTATAACAGACCCTCCAAAACAAAAAACCTTCAGTAAACTGTCGAAACATGTAATGTCTTGCTCCTGTTTGGAACCGAGGGAGCAATCTGCTGGGGGTGGTGGTGGCTGAGAAGTAGAGACACAGTATTTTCTCCCGGTTTTGCCGGAACTTTGGGCAGCCTCAGGCTGGGCTCGATGGCGGATGGAGGTCAGCCGGGGGAAGGCGTCTGGGCGGAGGCCGTCCGGCCTTGGGGCGGAGCGCAGGCAGCTGGCGGGGCGGCCCTCAGGCGGGAGGCCTCGCGCGGGGGGGTTGGGGGGGCAGCCCCGGCGCGCCCCGGGGAGCGGGGCCCACAGGGCGGGGGCGGGGGTTGCTGCAGGGCTGCTGCCACCCGGCTGCCTCCGGGGCGGGGCGGCCCAGCTGCGGCCTCGCGGGGGGAGGGTCGCCCGTGCCTGACCTCGGGCGGCAGCGCTCTGCGGGCGGGCTCTGCCTCCGCCCTGCCGGCTGCTGGGGTCGCGCACAGTGCACCGCGAGGCCGCCCTACCCCCTCCCTCCCTGTCGCGCGGCGGCCGACTGGCCAGGGCGCCCCCGGGTCTGGCCCGTCTCCACTGAGCAGCGGGTGGGGCGGAGGCGGGGCGGTGGTGGCCCCAGACAGCCGGCTGGGCGACTCGAGGAAGGAAGGAGGGAGGCGGCGGTGGGGGTGGGGCGGGGAGGGAACATCCTGTCTGCGCCGGGTGCACCGCAGACAGCGCCGCGCGCCAGCCGCCCAGACGGCGCGCGGGGCCAGGAGCGCCGGGCGCGCGCCTGGGGGGGAGGGAGCGCGCGAGACGACGGGGCGTGGGGGAGCCCCAAGGAGCCACAATAGGCCAGACGGCGCACGGGTCTCCGAGGGGCTGGGGGCCGCGAGGCTGCGGCCGCAGCGACGCCGGCTGGTCCGCGTGCGCGGTGCCGCCGCTGGCTGCTTTCCTCTCCCCTCCCCCTCCCCGCCGCCCTCGCTCTCCCCCGGGCGGACGGAGACGGCGGCGGCGTCTGCGGGAAGCCGAGTGTCTCCGCAGTGACGTGGGCGGGCCGAGAGCTCGGTGACGTCAGAGGGCTGTGTGTAGCGATGTGTGTGGGGTTCGGAGCGGCGCCGGCAGAGCCCAAGAGAGCGGGCGAGCGGCGGCGGCGGCAGCGACGGCGTGCACAGGTGCGGACCCGGCTCGCGGTTGGGCGTGGGAGGGGGAAACGCGGTGGAAGGCAAGGGACGCGCGGTCCCCGGGGATCCCGACGGCAGCCCCGGGGGTAGTGGGGAGTTAACAAAGCTCGTCGAGCTTCCCCGGTCGCGGAGGCCGGAGTTGGGGGTCCCGGTGCTCGGGTCCCGGGTGGGGTCGGGGCCATGCAGGGCGGGTATCTCTCCGTGGATCGTGCCTCGCTGACCCGGAGCAGTCGACGCGAGCAGTGGAAGGTCGCTGCACTTGACCGGAGCCGTCGGGACCCCGGAGACCGGGACGCCCGTCACAGTCTCCCATCCGCCCCCAGCCCTCCACTGCTCCGCGGGGATGCCCCTGCTCGACCTGGCCGCCTGGCCTCGGCGGCGAGGGGATCCCGGCTCATGCCCCACCCGCCCACTGACCCTTCTCCCTTCTGGCCCCGGGCGGGCGGGGGGAGGTGCAGTCGTAGGGGTGCTAGGGTAACACCCGAGAACTTCCCGGGGACAGGGCACGCGGGGGATTTCCACAGTCATCCCCGTGGCCCCCGCAGTGGGGTGGTGTTGGGAGGGCACTTGGGGTTGCCCCGAGACCGCGGGTGGGGGTTGAGGGACTCTTGCTTCTTCCACTTCCCACTACCCCCTTTACACATCCCGAGGCGTCCCGGGTCCCATGTCTTTCGTTCCCCACTCCCGCTAGGGTTTGTGATGGCTGGGTAGCTTTTGCATGGGCCGACGATTTCAGGGTTTGGGGGGTTCGCCCATTCTAGGTCAGACCTCCTGCCTTCTTGGCCTGCGTTGGCTGAGGTGTTCCTGTGGTGGGCGAAAGTCAGTACGTAGGTAGTGGCCTTGGTCCTTAACCCTTTAGGTCTGTTTTAAAGTAAATTGCTGGGAGTTAGGTAGGAAAAAATTTATTGGATTTCTTTTCTCAGAAGAAGGAAGTGGAAGAATCTTTTCTTTTTTCCCCCTCTTCCTCCATTTGCATTCTTTGTGAGGTCTCTCTGCCTTGCGGTTTTTTTCCCGGATTGATGTTGTTCAAGGATGAAGATTCCCTGGAGTGGAATCTATAGCTTTTGGCTTCCATTAAGCAAATTCACTAGCCTTTTAAAAAGAAAGTTAATTTTTGCCTACAGTCGTTCCAGAAAAATAGCATACACTGACTAGATGAATTAATGCACTTAAGATTGTAGCTATGTTAACTCGTATCTGATTATTTTGAATGAAAAAAATTCTTTTTTTAATCAGGAGATGAAGCAATGGGTTATTTTAGTTAAAATGGCATAACTGAGAATGCCTGTGGTACCGAGTTTTGGGTGAGATAATCTGTTTAAGGTTCTTCTAAGCTGGAGTAACCGTCTACCTTTTGAGGGATATTATTGCTCCTTTTACCTCTTATCCAAATTTGCCTTCCTATTTAAATGAAGGTTCTTCTGGTTAACTGTGTTAGATTTAAAGAAATCACTCAAGTGTCACCTTTGGTAAAGTGAACTCAGTTTAAGAAACTAGGTTCAGACTGACCCTTTGGCCTCTGGAGCGAATTCAAATTTAACTTCCCCCATCCCCCTTCTCTTCCAGATTAATTAAAAGAAGAATGGATAGCAATCCTTGAAGATAACTGGACTGTTTTCCTTTAGAATTCGTTTTTAATTACAGAAGTTCAAGTGGAGTGAGAGGCTCTTATGGTGTGAGGATTTATACAAACCTCCAGTTTGTCAACATAGAACAACAGATCATTTTTAGAGAAGATAATTTCTTCTTTACCTTTTTTGGTCTCCTTGCTGCCAAAAATTAAATTTGGGTACATCATTTTGACTTGTGTTTGTGTCTAGATTTGATAACACAAGTAATTGCATGAACTTCTCATGCGTTTTGCTTCAAACCAAACCAGACCAAACCTTTGTATTGAAGCTGGACATCTTGACTTGAGAAAATTGACAACTTAATTTTAATAAGAATCTAAAGAATTAAAAACATAGGCTTCCTCAGAGGCGTGCCTCTGAGTGAAATTACACTGGAATATAAGCAAACCAAAATTGGGAAATCTATTGAGCAGTTTAGGGAGATCTCTCTTCGGAAATTTAAATTTTCTGTTAGAGTTAGTTAGCATAAGTATTGGTATACATTGCTTTTCTCTTTTCAAACAAGCAACTAACAATGCAGATATCATATTTACTTAATTGACACTATAGTTATAGCAATGGAAAACCTGCAGGCAAATTTCTCCTTGGTTCAGGGCTCAAATAAAAAACTGAATGAGATGGGAGATGATGGCAGCCCTCCAGTGAAAAAAATGATGACAGACATTCATGCAAATGGAAAAATGATGATAACCGGATGGGGAGCATGTCAAAGGAACCTGTGCTTCTGTGCCTGAAGCTTTACATTTAAATCCCAGTTTGAAACACACTTTGGCACAATTCCATCTAAGTAGTCAGAACTCCCTGGGTGGACCAGCAGCATTTTCTGCTCGATATTCCCAAGAAAGCATGTCACCTACTGTATTTCTGCCTCTCCCATCTCAGGTTCTTCCTGGTCCACTGCTCATCCCTTCTGATAGCTCCACAGAACTCACCCAGACTGTGTTGGAAGGGGAGTCTATATCTTGCACTCAGGCTGGAGCAAAAAAGAGACTCTGCCCAAGTCTTAAATTCTGTTCTCCGAGAATTTTCACTCCAGCAAATAAATACAGTGTGTGATGAATTGTACATCTATTGTTCAAGGTGTACTTCAGACCAGCTTCATATTTTAAAGGTTTGGGAATACTTCCATTCAATGCCCCATCTTGTGGACTGATCACATTAACTAAATGCACAAAGACTTGGTAACACTTTATTGCGGCCATGCACTTTTCCACAAAGTGGTAGCATACTTCCTGCTAAAAACTCATTGGCCCAGTTAACGGAAACTGGCAGTGCATTTCAAGTGGAACATGAATGCTTCGGCAAATGTCAGGGTCTATTTGCACCCCAGTTCTATGTTCAGCCTGATGCACCGTGTATTCAGCATCTGGAATGCTGTGGAATGTTTGTGCCCCAGACATTTGTGATGCATTCTCATAGATCACCTGACAAAAGGACTTGCCACTGGGGCTTTGAATCAGCCAAATGGCCTTGCTATCTTCACGTGAACCAGAAGTACTTAGGGACACCTGAAGAAAAAAAACTGAAAATAATTTTGGAAGAAATGAAGGAGAAATTTAGCCTGAGGAATGGAAAGAGAACTCAGTCCAAGGCAAGTTTTTGTTTTCCCCTAAATAGCAATTTTGAATAACGGTAATGGTTTACTTTGAAATCAGAAGTCTATATTTAGAATATTATTTAATCTGTGTGTTGTTAAGAAACTCAACTGCTCATGCAACAATAACAAAAAATACTGATTTCTGTAATGTGTTAGGTTTGTATTACATATTTTATGCTGCAGAGTTTTCCTGTGTGTGTTCTTACTTGATCTTTCAAACAACTGGGAGAGAAGTAGATTATTCCCATTTTACAGATAAAGAGAATGGGGCTCAAGAGATCAAGTGGTTTTCCTAAGATGATTTAGCAAGGGAGTGGAGGATTTGGGGCTTTTATCAAGTCATGGCCTCTTTTTCGCACATCCTGCCTTTTGATAACTAAATCTGTTGTTGTCCTAGGACTCCAGGTAATTTACATTTTGGTGTTATCTCCATTTGCAAATAGTGTAACAGCTATCCAAAACAGTTCTGGTGGTGGGCTCCAAGTAGCATTTTTCAGAGCTACATCTAGGATTTTTGATATTGCTTCTACACTTGAATATTCAGGCTTGATCAATATTGGAGACAAGTGGAAGAGACAGATTTATCTGAAGAATTTGTTTGAAACTAAATAAATGTTAAGAAAAAACGTATCAGCAGAGAGATCTTAAAACTTGTTTTTCCCACAGTATTATCTGGTAGGCTACACAACTGTCTTATGCCTGGGTAATAGACAAGGTCTGGGTTATTAAATATTTAGTTTGTTGATCTGGTTTTCAAATAAATTTTCCTACTTGATTAAAATCAGCGTAATAGTTAACACCAAGTGTTTAAAATGTGGCAAGCGTTGTTTGAGCAGTTTTACTTGTAAAATTTTAATTTGATTCATACAACGAAAGGTTGCTGCGTTTCATTTTAAGCAAATTTTTCCACTATTTTTATTCGTTGAAATAATCTCTGCCTTTTCTGCTTCACAGAAGAAATGAATGAAGCATATTAAGTAATTTAAGATTATTCACAGCAACATTAGAGCTTGGGCTGGAACCTAAGATTTGGTATCCTGTAATTTATTACAGTCCCTTAAAGGTTTTTAGGGAAATTTAGTTACAGTACAGTTTTAAGATAATTCACTTCTGAAACCCAATGAAGATAATTTTAGACTCTACATGAGGGTAGTTTGCTCCTTGCTGCTTCCAAAGGGTCAGCATTTCACAATTCCTTACCTTTGGCTACTAGATCAGTTTATATTGTTCAGGTGTAGTTAGTAACTGATTTCGAAGCAGGATTGACTTCAAGCCAGTTCTGAAATTGCTGGACTTGCTTACAGCTGGATTGGTCCCATGCTGCTGCTTGTGTTTAGAGATTATATTCTCAAAATGTGGAAAGCCCCTTTTGACATTTATGATTATCTTCCCCTAAGCTAATTAGGGTTCTACCCTTACATGCCCATAGGTGTCCACATTATTTGCTCAATATTCTTGCTTCAATCTTCATTGCTCTGACAAGCACTTTTGGGATAAACTACTTTGCCGAATAGTCCTGCTCTGTATTTGTGAGAAAAAGAAAATATGTGAGAACCATGACAAAGGTTAAAAAAAAAAGATGATTAATTTACTTAACTGAAACTGAATGCACTAGGGTTTGGTTAAAATTGAAACCATTCTTCATCTGGAAGTAGTCCTTTATTGTCTCAGAACTTACGAATTTGAATTCATTTTTTAGTTCGGAAAGGTGTGATTTTTTTCCATCTTTTTGCTATAGGTGATTCTTTATATTTTTATTTAGGTGATTCTTTACTGTTACCATCTTTTTTTGCAGTATTTGCTACAGTGGTATTTTGGAATTGTTACCAATTTAATGTGAATTTTAAGCAGTTTAAGGACATTTAAGGAAATTTCTAGCAATCAAGCCTTTAAGAGAGAAGATTTCTGGGCTTCATGTGCAATACATACTTGAGTGGTGGTTTTATTATGCTTCTTCACATTTTAAAAATTTACTGCTCAAAACCTTGTGAGGTTGTTCTTTTTTGAAGGCCTGTAAACAGGGTTTCTCAGATGAGAAACAAGTGCCCAGATGGGTCACATGCTTGTGGTTGTATAACTGGTAGGTGGTGGAATCAGGAGTTGAATGCCGTTCTTCTAACTTGAAGTCTAGTAATTTTCACTACTTTTCCCTACAGCAAACTTAGTAGCAGAAACTGAATTTTGAGAAACATTAACTTTTCTTATCAACCTACCTTTTAGTATAATGGCTCTTAAATGCTGTATTAACTTGCATATAGACCAAGGTATTTAACTGGTGAGAGGATGGCCTTGACTGGGGAACATTTTTCATTCTCCTGTGAGTCATTTGGTTGCCAAACAAATCAGATGACCCAGAGGAAGCTCATTTTAAAAAATCAGGATGGGCTTTTTTTTTTAAAGATACACTAAATATATTAATCCCTTATAAAGAGCCTTCTGTTTAGTGTGAATACTAATGTAATTTGACATGTTTATATAGTTAATGTAGGTGAAGTATTGTTTCTGGATTTTAAAAGATCCTGAAACTCAGTAGGCAGTTGTTTGAAATGCAGCAACTGTTAAATTATTTCTAAGGGTGGAAATTATATTAGTAATGATCACCAAACTGTTTGCATAGCTAATAGGTGTATTTTGCATAGTTAGTAGCTAATATTTAGATAGGAAAAATAATGGTGTTAGGTCAGTTCTAAGTAAAGAACTATTTTTTGTAGACTAAAGGCATGTTTTGAACTATTTCTTACTCAGGTCACCACAAGAAATACAACTGATTTTTAGTTCTGCCTCAATTGTTTTGCAAAATGATATTATCAAACAGTCTCTTCTTGTCATTTGAGTTTTCGGGACTTTTTATTAGAAAAATGGTTATTGTATTTTACAGTGTTCAAATGTGTGCAAGAATAGCATATTCTTGATTTTTTTCCAAATCTTCATTGGGTGTTATTTATTTGATCTAATTTTGATTTTGTTGATTATACATCTATTTACAGAAAGATGGTTGCTAAGCAATTTGATCATTTATAAATAAAATTTGAAGGGTGATGATTACTTAAGACTGTTTTTAAGCATATTAGAAAAGTCTATCTAGTCAGTTGATAAAGTAATTATAGGTGATTGTCTACTGTTAACAGCATATGGCTTACATTCTCCCCTAAGTTAATGATATATGCCCTTAAAAGTATATATATTTTTTAAATTAAAATTTAGATTTCTAACATTCAGACTTACTACTCTTGGGTAAGTAAAATAATACAGTGTTTTACTCTGCTTAGGAAAAAAAGCCCTGTAGGTTATCTGTGATGCAAATCAATGACCTAAAGGTAACAACCGAAAGTTTTCCTCGTGAAGCCTAGTAAACATTTCACAATTTTTAGTTTCGCCTTTTCCTTTCACATCACCATTTCTGCAGAGATCCTTGGAATAATAATAATAATACAAAAAATTTCTCTCTTCTTGTAAACTCTTAATACTTCTGTTTAGGAACAGTGTTTTTTTAGTACAAACCTAAGTATAAGGTAAGGAATACACACCAGAGAGGATGGGTGACTAGAGAGAGTAGTATTGGGGCAGAATGTGTTCCAGTAATAATTGTGGCAGATTTAATGGTAATTTTGTTACATCAGTGATGTACTTTGATTTTGTGATTAGCATAAATTTTGATCAAGTTAGAATAAAGTCAGAATGAGATGAAGTATTGTGCTAATATGAGGGACCAATATGAATATTTTTGTCTAGCTTTCTAAAACAAACTCTTTTCATGAATTCATAGACTTTTCTTGCTTTCCCCGAACATAGTTTGGTGCACAGTAACACCAAAGACACTTGGTGATACCTTTTTTTTAACTGAACAAAATTTTGTAAAATTTCATTACGTTTTAGAATATTTGGAGTTTTTTTTGAAAAATGATTTACCCTATAATAAATACATAATTTGCAAATAAACTGTTGAATAAGGTAACATCAAATAAGAGAGTAGATGTGAAAGCATTTTGCAAGTTAAGAGTCTAAAATGTGGAGTGGTGCTTCAGACTGTTACTGAACTGTTTACTAATACGTATTTGCGGATTTTTCCTTTCCCTAAACGTCTACTTGTCTTATCTAGAATTATGTGAAGGTATTTCTAAGACGAAGGTTTCAAATGTATCTCTTAGTTGTTTGCACACAGTAATTATACTAATTGGATATTTATTTACTTACTAAAATGAAGTATGCAAGAAGAAAGTGAAAAAGGTTTAAAATATTGAGTGAAATCTTCAGAATGGCTTTGGGAATAGTGCCCTCTTATGGTTTTGTAAATACAATTAAATAATTATAAATAATAGTAAATACAATTAAAAAGTTAAAACATTTAAAAATGTTAACACATTTTAAAAGGCTTATGATGAAAAACTTAGAAGTTCATCCTTTTGGTCTGAGAAATGGGAAAAAATTAAGAAACTTCAAGGAAGAGAAGGAAAAAGGTAGCCTGGAATTAGTGTTTCAGCCAACAGTGTTTTCAAATCTATGCATACATTATAACTTACGCTACTGGAAGAATGAGGAAGTAATCAATAGCTGGGTTAATTTGAATCCCTTAGAATTCTGGGAGTGGAAGTAATTGTGGAGCCAGAACTTTGTTCAGGTAGAGGTATAACTTATTTGGAAATAACTTTAGTAATGGCTGGAACCTTCATTTTGTCCACATATAGAAGTTTGTTCTATCGGTTTATGTATGTAAATAATAATCCAAGGATTTTATTAGACTGCAAAAAGCAAAAGGAATATATATAATGAAACCATGAACCTTTTTAGGCTAATATTAATAAGCCTTGTTATGGTTTGCTTCAGTCATTAAAGTATTACAGCACCATGCTAGGTAGAAAGAGGAATGAATAAGAAAGATACAAAATAAACTTAAAACTCATTTTGATTTCTAGGCTTGGAAGTGGGTCACAGAAGTATGTATGCACGTAATGACTGGAGGGAGGCCCCCTAGGGCAGGACTCTATCTTGCAGTT